GGCGTGTTCACAGCCGGCGTGTGCCGGAGAGCCCCGGCGAGCCTGTGGCGGCAGGCTGCTCCCGGCGAGGGCTGTGCGGGGGGCAGAGTCCAGGCGGGGTTGCTTCGCCTTCGTGAAACGTGCCGCTGCTGAGGGAAGCTCTGCGGGGAGTGCCTACAAGGTCAAATGGAAACTACTTTCCTGTAACAGCCTTTAGCAGCTGAAGTTTCAGCAGGCTGCGTCAGACCTCTCACAAATTTAGATATTGGCTGTTGATAGTATTTCTGAAGCAGCAGCTGAGTTTCGTACCACAGATTTTAACCCAGCAGAAGACGGGCTGACCTGATTCTCACATTGTCCAAGACAGCAATGGTGTTCTTCAGAAACAGTTTTCTTCCATGTTCCTTGAATTGCCATCAGTTGTCCTCCTTTTTCTTTCACGGGAGAATACAGGCCTCTCCCTTTTTTTTCTAAGTTTCAAAAGCATTTTGAAGCTAGAGCCTTCAGAGTGTGTTGGGGATTTCAACATCTCCATTCTCGTCATCGCTTGTACTGAAGTCAAAGCAGCCATAAGCCTATTTCAAGGAAATGAAAAACTATATTGAGTCTTCTTGTCAAGCACTAGGCCTTGGAGCTGGTTGGGTCAAAATACATTATTCTTTCTGCTTTCTGTAATTTACTGCTTTGTGTACTTACTGCTGTACATAAAAGTTGCCAATAAATGGCTTATGTCACCAGAGAAGATCCAACTTTGCTTGTTTTCTGTTAATGTACCTTCTTCCTGTCACGGCAAATTTCTTTTCTTGAAAATGGAAGCACACAGAGCAACTGCTTATACCGAAGATCTGCAAGTAAATAATTGTATTAATATATTTTAAAAATGTATAAATAAAAGCTAAAATAATTTTATTAAAATTCTTTTGTTCAGAAGCAGGAAAACCAGCAAAATTTACCAAATGATTCATTATAAATAACTGGCTGCCTGTGAAGTATACTGGCAGCTGATAGTCACAGGCTCTGGGAGACAGGTTCTACACAAAAACTGTCATATTTTGTGCTTGAATTTGCTCCAAGGAGTGCAGCTCCACTGACTGAGAGATACATATGATCTGTTCCTTGAAATAAACATGAGGGTTTGCAAAAGATGGTGTAGGACTTCTTTGTATCTCATTCTCTCTAAATCAACTTCTAAACATGAAGAGTGCAAAATGGGATCCTAAACAGTGTAATGCAAACCTTGATAGTTGTTTAACTTCTGGTTTGTTCTAAGTTGTATCTCTCTTTGCCTGGGAAAAAGGTGAGGCAGTTTTAATAGGCTCATCATCTGTGTTTGTATATAAGTAAATACAAACGATATGATTTGGAAAGTATAGTTCCTAGCCTAGCTTATCAGAAGGTAATGCAGCTGCGTTTCCTCTTCTAGAAAGCTCCTTAAGTGCATTTGCAGAGCTCTGTACCTGGTCACTGTGGAGACTTCTTGATTATGGAGCTTCACAGCACTTCAGACCTCTGCATGCCATTGTGCTGTGTTCTCTGGAAGAAGAGTAGCTCCACGCAAATTGTACAGATGTACAGAGGTTAAGTGTTTAGTATTTCAGGTTTTGAGTCTGTATAGCTGCTTCTGTATCTGAGAGTCCTTCCAAGATTAGGGCTGTTTGAATGATACAGATGTCGTGTATCACAACCCTGGCATATGTTAGACCTCCAGAATATCTGGGATGTTGCAGCAACTTACAACAAAAAACATGCCACTACCCCTAGGCCTTGTCTAAATATGCACATCACAGTAACATGGTTTGGGGAAAAAAGATGCCTCTCAAGGATAAATAAGAATGTAAAATAGTATACATTAAAATGTCCATTTCAGTCTGTATAAGTACTCCTTTGCATTTTGGGGTTGGTTTTGGCTTTTATACTAACAAAAATACAACTTTTGGATGCTGAAGACAGCCTGTGTTAGACAATGTCTGAATTTTGACTTCAGAAAAACAAAGTTACAGTTTAGTGTGAGAGGTTGATATAGCTTAGAGTCCAATTCTCAAACTAAATGACAATCAAGTAAAGTTAAATAAATATGATGCCAGAGATGGGCATTTACTTTTAAATGTGTGTTTTGTAACGTGTACTTTACCCTCTTGCAGGAACATCAATTGACAGTAAGAGGAGTGCAACTGATCACAGCACAGGATGGGTATCTATTTTCTTCTGTTAATTGTAGGGTTTTGCTGGGCACAGTACAACCCTAATACTCTCTCTGGGAGGACGTCTATTGTACATCTCTTTGAGTGGCGCTGGGCCGATATTGCTCTTGAATGTGAACGCTATTTAGCTCCTAATGGATTTGGAGGAGTTCAGGTATGTCTGTTCCTATCAGTAGGTAGTAAAATTGCTACATGGATGATAATTTGTTTTTCAGAGAAAATGTTCAATTCACGAAAGGACAGGTACTGAGAAAGAAAAATAGAAATTGGTAATGGAAGTAGTAAATGCTGACAAATATATTCTTTAGCTATCATCATGTAAGCATGAATTTATTTCATTGCTCCAAAGTGCATGTTTTGCACTCTGTGCTGTTACATTTAGATGAATTAGAATTGCATATTACTGGCTAAATCTTTTTTTTTACTGCTGTGAAGAGTAACCTGCGTTTATCTGCTTGATGTTATTTAAATCAAGGGAAGCTCTTAAGAGTTAGATAAACATAAAATGAAACTATGACTTAAAAAAAAAAAAAAGTGCTTCCAAAGAGAATACCAAAGTGCTGAAGGTTTTAAATGAACAAATACGAAAGGTTGCTAATTGTTTTCATCTAAATTGGCAAGTATCTCTCATAAAGCCTAGAGTCAGAGTAAGCTGTTAATAGACCTTCTTTGCAGGAACCTGCTGTGAGCAGCCAGAACTGAACTGAACACACGTTCTGGTGGAGGTGTGTCGATGTGAATCTGTTCCGTCTGAACAACAGACGTGTTCCTGGTGGAACCAGTAGTGTCAGATGAGTGGGATTCTACAGCTGGAGAGCAGTCACCCATTAAAACTATTTCATTTGTTTGTCAGATTGCTCACGAAAAACTGGTGAGAAAAGTCTGCCTGTCTCTCCTAGCCCAGGAGTTTTCAAGTTGGCCTGAGTGAGAACTTTCCTATAATTTGCAAATAATACATCTTTTCTTTGCAACCTTCTTTCCAGGCACCCAGGCCTGATTGATTTTAAACTGATTTCTCAGACTATGGTAGACTTCTGGATATCTTTTTAATCCATGCTTGAAATGCTGGGGTTTCAACCCCAAGCCCCAAATTAAGGTTGACATATGGGTGATTCGCACAGCCCTTCCCAAAGGGGGGGTGAGTTTGCCTTTAGGCTTCCCTCCAGGGTGCGGCCGGCCTGGCAGGGAGATCCATTGGGTAAATGAGCCCCAGGTGTTCTGCATTAAGTAACCAAGGGTCAGGTGTCCCACTTAGGGATAAAAGCTGGGACCACTTGCAGGAAGGGGCAGTGTCTGTCTGTGAGGTGGATGCACTTTGCAGAGTTCTCTGTTAGGGAAGGACCTCCCACCTCCCTGGAACTGGGCTTCAGTCAGGTCTGGCTTTTGTAAACGTGGGCTGTGTAGAGATTCAGTATGTGGCTTCCTTGGTCTTATGTATTTGGTTTGTTGTCTCCTGTCCCTTCTATGGGAGACCTCATTTCACCATTTATTCCACCCGTTGTTGGTCGTGTGGTGTCATTGTTGGGTTAGTGGGATTGATATCAATTGTGTATAATCTGACAGACTTGTTTGTACCCCCAGTGCTCACCCATGTACCGACCCTTTTGTATCAAATACAATTTGGTTATTGGTTCATCTTTATGCTGGCTGTGTCCTTTATGCTAGGCCTAATAATTGGCAAAACAATGCTGTAACAGGGTCTCAGAGAGAAAGTTTTTTTCAGATGCAGACTTGCTGAGCTGGTCACAAAGGCATGGCAGCTAAGGAGGTTTCACCTAGGGATCTTTGTGAGAAATGGTGGGATCAGGTGATTATGCCCAGAGATTTGGAGGTAGCAGCAAAAGCTTGTTGGCTGAAGAGTATCCTGGAAAAAGTCTATAAAAGGAGGAGGTACAGCTTATCTGGAAGCTGTGACCAGTCTCATGTCAAGAACCTTTTTATTCAAAACATTACAAAAATGGAAGTCTGATCAATTTTAAGGGTAGGATGTTATGTCAATTGTTCTGCAGTTCCTTCTTGAGTCTGGGCTGTTTCTGTTGACCTAGTCCTTCAGATTTCAGATCTTTCTTTTGATCTTTGAAGCCTGCAATCATGCGGCTAATTAGGACGCTATGTCCATGGACGTCATTTTCATAGTATGTTTCTACCTACTGAAGGTCCAGGTCTAAGTTTTTTATTTCCAGCCCACTACAATGTAAGAAGAGGATACTGCGGATCTAAATAGCTTAAGTATTGTGAGCATCTTCTATTAAAGGGACTTGATTTTCTATTTTAATATTCTTCTTTCTCTAAGAATACTGGAGAAACAAATAAACTATTATCAATATCCTGTTACTAAGAGATACCATCTTATTCACAGATTTCACCTCCAAATGAAAATGTTATCATTACTGACCCCTGGCAACCATGGTGGGAAAGATATCAGCCCATCAGCTACAAGCTGTGCACACGATCTGGAAATGAAACTGAATTTAGAGACATGGTGACCAGGTGCAACGATGTTGGAGTAAGTGCTTTGAAAAACCTGGTGTTAACAAGTAATTTAGAGGCAGAGACATGGTAGTACTGAAGATGTTTGTTTTTTGATAGAATCAGAGAATAGTTTGGGTTGGAAGGGACCTTTAAAAAGTCATCTAGTTCCAACCCCTCTGCCATGGGCAGGACATCTTCAACTAGAGCAGGTGGCTCAGAGCCCTGTCCAACCTGATTTTTGAATATTTCCAGGGATGGGGCATCTACCACCATTCTAGGCAACCTGTTCCAGTGTCTCACCACCCTTACTGTAAAAAATTGCTTCCTTATATCTAGTCTAAATTTACCCTCTTTTAGTTTAAAGCTATTACCCCTTGTTTATTGCAACAGGCCCTGATAAAATGTCCCTCCCCATCTTTCTTATAAGCCCCCTTGAAGTACTGAAAGGTGGCAGTAAGGTCTCCCCAGAGCCTTCTCTTCTTCAGGCTGAACAACCTCAACTCTCTCGCCATAGGAGAGATGTTTCATCCCTTTGATCATTTTTGTGGACCTGCTCCAACAGGTCCACATCTTTCCGGTGCTGAGAGCGAGCTCTAGAGCTGGGCACAGGACTCCAGGTGGGGTCTCACCAGAGTGGAGAGAGAAGCAGAATCACCCCCCTCAGCCTGCTGGCCACACTTCTTTTTGATGCAGCCCAGGACATGCGTGGCCTTCCAGTCTGTGAGCGCACATTGTTGGCTCGTGTCCAGCCTTTCATCCACCAGGAGACTCAAGTCCTTCTCTGCAGGGCTACTCTCAACCCCTTCATCCCCCAGCCTGTACTGATACCAGGGGTTGCCCTAACCCAGGTGCAGGATGTTGCACTTGGCCTTGTTGAACCTCCCACAGTTCACATGGGCCCACTTCTCGAGCTTGTCCAAGTCCCTCTGGCTGGCATCCTGTCTCTTGAGTGTCAACCACACCACTCAGCTTGGTGATGTCTGCAAACTTGCTGGGGCTGCACTCGATCCCACTGTCTGTGTCACTGGTGAAGATACTAAACGGTGCTGGTCCTAGCACAGGCCCCTGGGGGACACCACTTGTCACCAGTCTCCATCTGGACACTGAGCTGTTGGCCACTACCCTCTGGATGTGACCATCCAACCAATTCCTTACCCACTGAACAGTTCGTCCATCAAATCCTTTTCTCTCCAAATTAGAGAGAAGGGTGTTGTGAGGGACCATGTTAAAGGCCTTACGGAGGTCCAGGTAGATGACATCCAATAGCTCTTCCCTAGTCCACGGATACAGTCATTCCATCACAGAAGGCCACTAGGTTGGTCAGGCAGGATTTGCCCTTGGTGAAGCCGTGCTGGCTGTTCAAATCACCTCCCTGTCCTTCATGTGCATTGGTATAGCTCCTAGGAGAGATGATCTGTTCCAGGATCTTCCCAGGCACAGAGGTGAGGCTGACAGGTGGGTAGTTCCCAGGGTCCTCCTATCTACCCTTTTTTAAAATGGGTGCAATGTTAACCTGCCTGTCTGTTGAGATGCATGTTGTATCACCATCACTATATGTTAATAGTAGACAAATTTTTAAAATAAGATGTTGGGGGAAGCAAACAAACAGAAATAGAAGGATAGGACAGGAGGTAAGAGAGGGAGCATGTTGATAAGTGGTGCCGTGGGAAGTAGCTTTCTCAAACTGGAATGTGAATACTGTTCTCTAGGTACATATTTATGTGGATGCAGTAATCAACCATATGTGTGGAGCTAATGCTGGTGCTGGTGACCATGCTACTTGTGGAAGCTATTTCAATGCAAAGACTGAAGATTTTCCAGCTGTGCCATATTCTGGCTGGGACTTTAATGATGGTAAATGTAAATCTAGAAGTGGAGACATTGAGAATTATCATGATGTATCTCAGGTAAACGGAGACCTATAAATATATATTTCATGTAGATCCATTCCTGGGCTATGATTTCCTTGCTCCCCTTTACTGTCAGACACTTTTAAAAAACCAAACCAAAACAAAAACCCTCATGGAAAACCATCCAAATTGATAACAGAGGTTAGCCTTGCTGTCAGGAACACCACTTCTTAAAAGGATAGCACTACTTGAGCCAATGGCTCAATTTCAGATATAGACAAATGTACTTAGGTACTTTATACAGGGGGGGGGGGAGGGGGTTGTGTTTAAAAAAAAAAAAACTAAATTACTATTTGCCAGTAGGAGTTATTTGCCTTTTATTGTAATTTGGAAGTTTTCTTTGGTCTTAGTTTCAGAAGAGAGAGATTAGCATTTCATAAAGAAAAATAGAATCTTGAAAATTAAGCTTCTGTTTAGAGATTTCCTAGGAGTCTATCTGTTCCTCTATATCAGATTACAAGGTCAGGACTTTAAAACTACCACAGCATTAAAAAATATTTTATAAAGATAAATACCTATTGTTCTTGAATAATGTCTTATGCCTTTCAAATACATTTGATCTTTTCTGAGTCTAAGTTGAGGGGAGAGGGGTTATGGAGAAATGGCAGAAGAAGGGGAGACTTTAAATGTCCCTGA